GTAAACACCCAAAATTTATTTCTCACAGTTCTGTAATGTGGAAAGTGTCAAAAAAATTGGTTTCTGATGAGGGCTCTCAGCTCCATAAATGGTACCTTTTATGTATCTTCTTATAGCTGAAGAACAAACAAGCTCTCCTACAACTCTGTGTAAAAGGACACTAATGTCACTCCTTCCTACCCAAACTTCCTAAAGGCTCCACCTCTCACCACAATTGCACTGGAGAAAGAGTATATATACATATATATATATATATATATATATATATACACACACACACACACATATGTATATATATATAGAGAGAGAGAGATGAAAATTCTTAGCATAGCAATAATCTTGTTATTTATCCACACCAGCTCTTTGTTTTGTTATTTTGATGATTTTAAATTCCATTTAATTTATATTATGCTTATTTGAAATTATATTGAACTGTTTCATGCTAATAGAAAAAGAACAGTAGTACATTTCCCTTTTTCCGCCCCTGTGTGTGCCAGCGTCCCTGTACTCCACGGTACATTGGTATGACTTTGTTGGGGAGTCAGGACTGAAGCAAGCAGAAACACATTTCAGGTGCTCATGTTTGTAACTGTCACTTCTGCATTGCTCTTTATTCCTTTCAGATCTACATTTTTATCTAGTAAAACTGTCCTTAGGTCTGACAGATTTCCTTTAACACCTGTATAATGTAGTTTTAGTTATAATTAATGCTTCCAGGTTTTGTGAAGCTTTGAAAAAATGTTTATTTTGCTATTTATTTATTTATTTATTTATTTATTGTCTTTTTCATTTTTATCGGTACCGGGGATCGAACTCACGACCGGCTTTTATTTTTTTAATACATCCAGAATTCTAGTTTGGCAGAGACCCTTCCTTCCTTTCCTCCCCCCCCCCTTTTTTCTCTCTTTTTTTCCTTTCTTTTTTCTTTCTCCTTCCCTCCCTCTTCCTTCCTTTATTTTTCCTCTCTCCTTCTTCCTTCTCCTTGTCTTTCTCCTTCTCCTTCTCTCCTTCCCTCCCTCCTCTTTCTTTCCATAGTCTACAGACACTTGCTTTTACTTTTATAATTCATTGTGAGACGTCTCTTGTTATCCTTGTCTTTGTTCCTATGCACAAAAAAAATTCTTATTGTTCTACCTTTCTGTTTACCACTGGTACTGAGCAGTTTTATCATGTTTTTTGTGCTGATAGAGCTTCATGTATTTTTAAGGTGATAGTAATGATATCTGGCAAGGATTTTGTCAGTTTTTTCCTATATTCCTATATTTTTTCCTTTCTCTCAGTGGCTCCAGTTAGACCACTGATTTAAGGTGAGTGAAGTTTTAGAGTTTTTATACTCTTTTCACGCCATTTCTGAGATTTTTTTAAAACTTATTAATTAATATCCTCATCATGGCTTATATTTTTCTGCCTCTTTATATCTGGTCATCTTAACTAGATTTTGAACATGGTGAATTTCACCCTTTAAGGAGCTGTATTCTTATTGTTATTATTAATACTATTATTTTGTCTTTTTGAGACAAGGTCTCGCTCGCTATGCAGTTCAGGCTGGTCTAGAGCTCACTTGGTAGCCCAGGCTGGTCTCGAACTCACAATCATGCCCCCACCTCAGCCTCCCAAGTGTTGGGATTACAGGTTCCCAAGTGAGCCACCATGCCAGGCTACTATTTCTGTATGTACTCATTCTAGAATTATTCTTTCTGTGTACTTTACTCAATGTATTATGAATCATACAGTTTCCCATACAGTTAGTAAGTCTCGATGTAATTACCTCAGCTGGTTTAGGTAACTCCTACAACCTCAAGTAGGGTTGCATACTGTGACGGTTAAGATGGGTGTCTTAGTGACTCACCAAGGATTAATAAAGCATACCTCTGAGGGTGTCCGGGTGGGGCATGACTTTGGCTGCTGCTGTATATTTGGTCTCTTCCTCTTAGGAGTACCCTCTGCTTTGCTTCTCAGTCAACACAGACTAAATAGCTATACAGCTCTGGTGGACCACTTCTCTGCCATGGTGGCCTGCCTTGGAATCAGGCAAAACATGGCCAGAATCCCCTGTGTCTTAATTACTTTGCTTGGTACTGAGACACCCAAAATTAAAGGAGAAAGTGTTCATTGTAGCTCATGGTTTGCAGAGGTTTCAATTCATAGTCCCTGGCTACAAGGAGGGGTGTCCTGGAAGAAGGACATCGCGGAGGAGGAAGAGCCGAAGGCAGCAAAGCAGGAAGCGAAGAAGCAAGCCGTCAGTGATGACGGCAGCCTGCTCACTGTCCTTTATAGTCTGTCATGATCTTAGGGTGCTAGCACTGACTGTCCACACCCACAATTATGCCAAACCACTCAACGGGCAAACTTAGTAATTACACAGGCTTAAGCCAAGCATCACACACCTGGATCCAGTCACCTCTGAGAAGCCCCACCTGTGGCTGTGTAAGGCTTTGGTGCGGGCATCTAAGCACAAACTGTAACACTCTGGAACCATGAGCCAAGGAGAACATCTCTTCCTTTGAGTGTGGGTGTTAGTGTTGTGTCCAGAGATGGGGAAGCTGCCTACACACGCATTGATGCCATCATGGTTTGAATTCGGCTTGCTCCCAGAGATCCATGCATTTAGAGCATTTTTTTCCAGTTCGGGGACTGATGGGGTTTTGGGGCAGCAGGGTTGAGAGGGTGCTTCTTCAATCACTGGAGGCCCTCAAGTGAGACTAAGGTAGTTCTTGTGTGACTTCTTGGTAGTTCTCATAAGACGGCTGTTACATGAGGTATGCTATAAAAATATGGTGTGTTTAAATTTTAAAAATACAGTGAAAAACAGAGTATCATTAGTGCCCCTCAGAATACACCCTCTCGTTAGACACACGTGACCCATCATGCCTGCCACCTTCTCCAGCAGCTCTGGACATTCTCTGTGTGAGTGTCTCTGGTTGCAGGGTCACAGCCCCCCAGTATGCTGAACTGATTCAAAACATTTACTTGCTGTTGTCATTTTGACTTTGGAGAAGAGCCAGAAGCCACCTAGTGCCAGATCTGGTGAATAAAGTGAATGAGAACACACTTTAGTGACTTTATGGGACTGCCTTTCTGTTGGCTATCAGCTGACAGCAGCATTCACTATTTTATTTTATTTTATAAAATTTTATTTATTTCATTTCATTTCATTATTTCATTTTTTGGTACTGGAAATCAAACTCAAGGTCTCATGCTTGCCAGGCAGGTACTGCGCTGCTGTGCTATATCCCTGGCCCTCACCGTGCTTGTTTAAATCACTGCTCACAAGGACATTCATAAAAGACTAGAACTGCTTCACAGAATAGCTGAGTCTGGCCAGCCAGCTCTGTGTGGCTTCTTACTTGAGATGCGGTTCTGCTTGCTACATCTGCTCCCTCCGTGATGTGATGTTAGTCACCATTAGACCCTCACCAGAAGCCAAATCAATGAGCCATCTGATACTGGACCTTTAAAATCCAAAATTCTGAATAAAACAAATCTCTTTTCCTCACAGGGAACTTGGCTCAGCTATTTCATTATAGTTCTAAAAAGCTGAGTTGCACACATACATTGGTCAGTACTTAGTTAATATGGGGAAGAACTGGGCAGACTCCAGAGTTCTCTGTCGAGGTGTTTCTTCCCAGGTCAGTCTCTCTAATCTCCTCTATACAGCATGCACTATGACTTGTCTGGATTTCCCCTCCCTCACTGCAGATGGAAACTTAGAGCAGTAAGCTAAAGAATTGCATGGTTCGTCTATTGTTTGCTTTCAGGTTCTGTGTGTGTGTGTGTGTGTGTGTGTGCGCGTGCGCGCGCGCGCGTGTGTGCATGTGTGTGCGTGTGTGTGTGTGTGTGTGTGTGTGTGTGTGTGTGTAACATCTTGCATATCCATGTTTACAGACTTTGTCTATTTTTAACAATTGCTTCACATGAAAAAAAGTGTGTTCTATTGTTTTATTTTGGCCAGAAGCAAATCTCTTAACCTGTGGATCTGAATTTCCATCTGGTATTATTGTCTTTGTTCTCAAAGAACTTCTGTGTTACAGTCGTGGTGGTAATGATAATGCTTTTTATCTTCCCTTCATTTTTAAATGATATTTTCATGGGTTTTACAAATATAGATTAAAAGTGTTCATTTTTTTCTTTGTCATTTCAAAGATGGCATTTCATTGTGATGTGATGCTGTAGGCTGAATTGTGTCCTCTCAATATTAGTATGTTAGCGCCCTAATCCACAGAATAGCACAACGCCATTGTGGTTGAAATAGGCCCTGTAAAGGAAGTCAAGGTAAAAGCAGGTCTGATGTATGGGCTCAGATCTAACGTCTGATGTCCTTATAAAAGGATGCAAAAGAAGAGTTTCAAGATGTAGAAAGAAGACTATGTAAAAATACTGGAAGAAGATGAATTTAATGTTTAATTTTCTATATCATCTTGAGTAGGATGTGGACACACCCCAAACTATATGTCTTATACATTAAAATAGAGTTCTTATTTTCATTCATCATTTCAAATATAGCAGTATGATGTTATCACCTGAATGAAGTGTCATAGAGTGAAACTGGAGTGTTTCCAGATGCCTCTTTGCTGGCATTTCAAAGTGAGATTAACATTTGAATTGGTAGATTAAGTGGCTTATTCTCCCCACTGAGGTTGAGCAATCTATTGAAGACCTGATTAGAACAAAATGTCAAATATATCTCATCCCATCTTCTCATCCCTTGGACTTGGATTTACCTTGTCAGCTCCCCCTTGTCCCAGGCCTTTGGACAGGGCTGATTTACATTAGCTTTCTTGGGTCTCCAGTACGCAGATAGTGTGTTATAACAAACAGTATGCATATGTTTATATAGTATAAGACTATGAGGAATACATATCATACAATATATTCATTTTTATATATAATATAATACATATATATACATATATATATATATATATACTTATATATATATATATATATATATGAATGAAATCCTATTGGTCTGTTTGTCTGGAGAATTCTAATAATAAAATGATTGTTAAAACCCAGGCAAAAGATCTTTGGGATGGGTGTTAAAGGGAACTTAGAAAATTTCTAACCTCCAGAACTAGGAGAAAATACATTTCTGTTGTTTAAGTAAAACCAGTCTGTGGCAATTGAATATAGCAACCTTAGGAGATAAAGACATATGGTTTTTGCAAGTAGTCTGAAATTATTCTCATCTTTACAACCTAAGGTGCACTATATCCATTTTTCCCTCCAAATGATTTTAAGAATTGCGTTTTTCTCTAAGTATATTATTGCTTGAGTTGATCCATTTTTTAGGTTTACACTCACTGGTACAGTCTATAAATTTCACTAAATTGGAGAGGGTATGGACATTATTAGTGAAATATTTTTGTCATTACTTTTCTTTTCCTGAGACTCCAGTAATACATTAAATCACTTAACATTAAACATAGTTCTCTGAGTCTCATTTCATGGTTTTCCTTGTGCTTTACTCTGTTCAGTTGCTGTTACTATGTCTTTAATTTTAGTGGTCTTCTGGAGTGCGTCATTTCTCATATCAAGTAAATTTTAAAATTTTACATATACTTGTTAGTTCCAGAAATGTGAACTTTAAATCTCACATTTGTTCTTGAAATTTTAGATTTTCCTTGACAATGCATAAAAATATAATAATTCATTTAAAATCTCTTTTAATTCTACCACATTTTGTTTCTGGCCTTTTTCCTGTGTCTGATTTGTTGTTTCTTCCTGACTAGTCAGGAAGAAATATTGTCATATTGTCTTGTTGTTACATTGCATGTTTAGTAATTTTTTATTGTATTCTAGACATCTCGACATTGTGTTTTTCATTTCTAGAAATTTGAAGTCAATAGTTTTCAAATCTAAGTAAGTGTTTAGTTTTCTTTTCTTCTAAGTGGTAAACCTGTTTTTAGCAGGTAGTTAGTAGGTTGTATATCAGCTTGATCTTTAGAATCACGCTCTGAAGCATTTTTGAGTGATCTAGAATATCTTCTCCATTGCACATTTAACTGTATATGAAACTGTAATTTTTAAATGGTCAAAGTTGAATGTCCTGGTTTTCAACAAGGATTTTAACCAGGAAACCTTGTTTCCTGATCCCATGTGAGCTCTGGAAACTCATTTTGTGTGATCTCAGCTGCTTTTTCTTGCATAGTTTCTCCTAAGCTTGTGCAATTTATAATCAGAAATATACTAAAATGAACTCTTCAAATTTCTGTAGTTATTTTCTCCATTCTGCTTCTATTTGTTAAGAACACTGACATGTCTCTATTAAATGGTCATTGCTATATTTTTCAAAGTTCAACTGAGTTTATTTGAATGGATGGGATATTTATTCTTGCCATTTAAAAATAACTGCCATGATGTGAATATAAAATAACCCCCCAACAGCCAGATCAAAGGTAAGGCTTTTGAAAGGCGACTGGATCATGAGTACTCTATGAAGTTAGAGTACTCATTGAAGTTTTAGAATACTCATTGTTTTCTGCAGTTATTTTCTTCATTGTAGCTATTTTCTCCGTTGGTTTCATCTCTTCTGTAACCTGCCTGAAAATCCTAGCTGTGTCAACTTGCCTAAATTGTGATTTTTGTTCTTCATGCTCTGCTTGGTTTTAGCTACAGTGCACTGTGGTCCAGAAAAAACAAAAAAATTCAATCCTGTTGCCATTAGGGTAAGTGTAGGAATCAACCCAATATTCTTTCCTTTATTTGAATCATAATCAAGCTTTCTCTGCTGACTGCTATCTGAAATTAACAGTGTTAATATTTGGTCTATCTCCTATAGTAACTTGTTTCTTTCCACAATTGGAAGACAAGCTCAGTATCAGTTACTTTAAGATGGTCAAAAGTAGAGAGCTTACATCTAGAAGTTCACTAGGAGTTTATGTGTAAGTTGTGTGCTGCAGAAGGGCAATGGTTTTATAGAGAGATTTCCATGTGTTTTATTCTGGATATCTTCAAACCTAAGTCAAAATATGAATAACTTATAACACAAAAGTACACCTAATTTTTCATTCAGAATATACAGAAGTCCTAAAAATTCCACATGAATATATATTATGCAATGCATCTTCATATATCCTTGAGCATGTATCTGAACTGTCCTGTGAATATAGATAGTGTCAATGTGAGATTTGTTACCTCTGGGAAGAGATAGCAAGAGGGAAGAAGTAAGATTTACTTTGAGACATAGACTCAAAATGAATTTAAGATAATACATTCATTAAGGAAACGATAAATCCAACATATTTATAAATTACTATGTATGATTTTTGAATACATATTGGTAAATAAAATGTAAGTGGATTTTTAAAAATAATTTTCAAAATCAAAAATTTTTTCAGTGTATGTGATGGTCAACACAGTGTCGTGTTCTTATGCTGATAAGAAAGACATAGTATCTACTAAGAAATGTATTGTCTAATTAGGGAAATAAGACAGAAGAAATAAACAGGTAATGAGGGACAGTGCCAAAAAGATACCACGATCTCAATTCTTCACAAGAAATCTGACATAATCCTCCACAACCCATAATGGGGTTCACCTATGTTAAGGAACATTCTTAATCCTTTACCTTTTTCCCACTCCCTCCGTCTGTGTCCCTTCTTATTTGTGTGGATAAGGAGACAGGTTAATACTTATGATGGATTTTATTATAATCGGTATCTAACATCTAATCAAAGGTAATGTTCCACACAATTACTTTGTAAAACTATGTAATATGTATATAATATTGCTATTTATCATAACCTATTTAGAATCCATCTTTCACAGTGTTTCTGCCATAAGCACTTTGATTTTATTTTTTTATTTTTATTTATTCATTTTTAAGGCAAAATCATATTCCTTATATTTCCTAGATTTATAAATAAAATTCAACAGTATTTACATCTCAATTACTTTTGTATTTTTCATAAACTTCAAAGATGTATTTAAAAAATTCACCATGTTCTTTAAAAATGATCTGAAAAAGGGGCTTCCAAAAAATTTCATGAATAATCTCTGGCTTCCCAAAATAAATATGTTCCTTAAATTCTATTTTATTTGAGAATTTCCATGTATGCCTTTCTCAAAGTATGCAGTTTCTACTGTTACTAATATCTTCCACTATGTGTTATATTTGTTATAATTAATGAATTAATATTGACTTAATGAATTCCATAATTTATATTAAGGTGATGCATGCCTGTAATGCAAGCAACTCTGTATAACAGAGGCAGGAGGATCACAAGTTCAAGTCCAGCCTAGTCAACTTAGTGACTTAGCAAGATTATCAAAAAAGAAAAAGCAAACAAAAAATCAGTGGGATTGCAACTTATCATAAAGATCCTGGATTTAGTTCTTGGAACACACATACGCGAGTTCATTTATGTGTTAGATATTCCTATTAGCTTTAATAAATCCATAATACCACTTAACTACAATTATAGCATTACAAATAATAGTTGCATCACTCCAGAAATTACTTTTTGTAGTTTGCTTTTCCAAGAATGTGATATGATTGACATCATCTTTAATGAGGCCTTTCCAGACTGGCTCCTGTCATTTAGCAATAGGCATTTTAAGGCTCCTGTGTTTGGGACGGGGGGTGTTTATCCGTTCACTCATTGAAGGATATTTTGATTGCTTTCAGTTTTTGGCAGTTACTAATAAAACTGCTAAGCTCTGTGTGCAAGGTCTTTTCAATTGAATAAGTACCTTGAAGTATGAGTGCTAGATTAAATGTAAGAGTATGTTCAATTTTGTAAGAAATTGCCATACTTTCTATCAAAGTCCTGATGCCATTCTGCTTTCCTGTTGTAAATAGAATATTCCTGTTCCCCTGTACCCCTATCAGCACTTGGTGGTGTCACTGCTTTAGATCTTTGGGATTCTAATAGGTAAGTATTGATATGTTACTGTTATTTTAAGTGCAATTTCCCTAAGGACATGGATGTTGAGTTTCTTTTTTGTCTGTATATTTGACATATCTATCGCTTCATTACTAAGAGTTTTTATACTTTTTGAAATTATTTTGTTTTTTTCTTGTTTATTTTAAATGCTCTTTGTATATTTTATTAGATTTATATTATACAAATATTTTCTACCAGTCTGTGCCTTATTTTTCCATTCTTTTAGTAGTGTCTTTCACAAAGCACAGATTTTTATTTTTAAAATCCATTTTATTCATTTTTTCTTGCACTTTCTTATTTCTTGTTATAGCTGAAAATACGTTATATGATATTTTCTAAAAGGTTCATGATTTTGCCTTTTCCATTTAGGATTATGATCCATTTTGAATTCATTTTGTGAAAAGTATAAATTTTTTGCATGATCCATATTTTTCCAGATAGCTATCCAATTTTTCTGGTTCTATTTGTTAAGAACACTAACATTTCTCTATCACATTGTCATTGCTATGTTTATCAAAGTTAGCTGAGTTTATTTGAGTGGATAAGATATTTCTTCTTGCCGTTTAAAAATAACTATCGTGTATGAATATAAAATGTGCCCCCGAAGGGAACATCAAATGTAAGGCTTTTGAGTGGTGACTGGATCATGCGTACTCTAACTTCACTGGTACATGAATCCAATGGTGGATTTATAAGGTGCTAACATCATTGAGAGGTGATGAGGACAGAGGAGACCAGACCTACTTAAAGGTGAGACCTGGGGAGGGTAACGTGCCCCAGCTTCTTTGCCTCCAATCCCCCCTTTCTCCCTCTGCTTCCTGGCTGCTGTGATGTGCCTTCACACCCTGCTGCCATGCTGATTCTGCTTCACCGCAGGTCTAGAAGCAGTGGAACCAGGTGACCATGGACTGAACTCCGAACACGCAAGTCAAAATAAACTTTCCCTCCTTTGAATTGTTTTCTTCAGGTGTTTTGTCACAGTGACAGAAAACAACACAATAAAATTAGTCAATTTTTGTAAATGAGGTGAAGTAAGAGAAACAAAATATGCAGAGCATTTTCTACTGTTGGATGATGGAGTAAAGTTGGTTGTCTTCCCGTTTCATAAATTACTCCGCAGAAACAAGGATAATCACAGGCAGATGAAGATTTTTCTTTGATGACGTAGAGTTCTTTTCTTTCTTTTTTCTAGTTGTAAATCACCGTGTGGAAGAAAGGTTTGCCAAATGCAGTACTGGTTAAATGAGGACACCAGGAGACTGTTAGGTCTTCTTTGTGGGGCTTGAAATGCTAAACAGCTGGAATTCCCCAGACATAACTCCTAGGAGCAAAGCCGTCTTTTGCACATCAGAAATGTGTAACTGGACTATGATAGACCACCCTAAAAGCTGTTTTACACCACAAAGGAGCATGCGTGCGCAGGCGTGAGTGCACACACACTCCTGTGCAAGAAAGAACTGCGGGATAAACCAGAAAAAATTGCTCCTATCTTGGAAGACTGGCTTCCAACGCATGAATTTTCTTTAAATTGTAGAGGATAAACCTGTTTCTCTCACAAATAACTAATGCATTTTTAAAAATTAGGAATGTTAGATAATGTCAAAAAAAGAACAGAAAAAAAACCTGTAGTAACCAAAGAATACTGATTAAAAATAATGACGTAATATATAAAAATTATGATCAAAAGTAAGACTGCTTTGAGATAAAACGCTGTTGTATAAAAAAGTTTCAAAGCAGACATATGCCCACCGCTCGCCCGAGCCACAGCTGCTCACCAGGAAGAGGGGTGCGTTGCTTCCTTGTTCAGCGCCCTAAGTTCCAACAACTTGCTCTCCTTCCTGGTAAGCAGCGGTTGCTCGAGAGAGCGGTGGGCAAGCCAGGAGGAGAACCAGTCATTGTCTCCCGTGAGCCTACGAATGCGTGGGCAGAGAATCAAACATCCCATTGCCCTGCCCATTAGCAACCCGGAGCCAGAGGTCTGAGCATCTCTTGGGAGGATGATTGTATACAGGGTAGCAAATATGGGGGATTTCCTTCTAGCATCTCTTTGAAGGCAAATATTGTTTTCACTGTTTTGCTTTGTTCTGATTGTTTTGCTCTACTCAACATTGTTTTGATAGGTTTTATAATGTTCTGCTTTTGGTTTGATTTTGCTATACCTGACTGAATGGACCACTATTGTGAAGATAACAAAATATACTATGGTACCGATTACTGTTAACCCAGTACCCTGCTGTGAAGTTCTGTACCAATTTCACTGCATTGTATTGCTTGGCTTTGTTCTGTTTTTCTTTCTGTGTGTATATATATATGTATATATATGGTGCATACTCAAATTAAAAAATTAGAATAAAACCTATATTGTCATTAATCCCTCTCGAACTACTCTGCCTCAGTTTGAACATTTTTACTCCATTCTTCTTGGAAATTTCTGAAGCAGTTTTAGAAATCCTTATCTGTGGGCATCTTTAAGAGGTGAGAAAAAAATACAGTGAATATTGCCCAGAGTGTGACAAAAAGGCAAGTGCATAAAAACATTACTGTGTGTCCCCACCTACCTTATTCACCAGCTCTGGCAGCGTCAAACTTCTGACTCTCCCTAAAGTCAAAATGACCATGAAAAGTCAATGATTTGAATCAATTCAGGGAACTGAGACAGCCAAATATGTGAAAGAGGACTTCCAGAGCTGCTTTCAGAAAGTGGCAAGAATGATAGGATGAATCTTCAAAGTGAGTGGGCGTATTCGGAGGGGGATTTGTAGCAATGTCTTTTATTGTAAACATTTCCCAAAAAAGTTTTCTAACATTCACCATATTTTTAAATTACACCTCACATTGCCAAGGAGATGGAAATGCTAGGGACCACTGACGATGTGCTTCCCAACCCCTCCGCGGATGCAGGATGACAGTCACCTGAGTATGACTTGAGAAGGATCAAAAGCTAAACCTCTTCCTCTAACTCCTCTTCAACTTGCTGACCTCAGCATTACCCTCTCTTCTTGGCTCACACGTATGTTAGTTTGGGCAGATGGGAACCTGTGTGTCAGAATCACCAGAGCACGGGAACAGCTGATTCCTGTGAAGGAGGTGGGAATTGTTCCCAGGACCTGGCCTATGCACATAACAAACAGTTCGTCAACTGAGACATGTTGAACATTGTGTGAAGCCTGCAATAAAGGTGAGATATGCTTCAGGTGAGATATGCTTCAGATGAATTGCGATGCAAAAGATCACCTCAGAGTACTGAGCCACAAGTGTTTTAGTCCATTTTGGAAAAAGAATGTCAAAAATGTATTTTCCTGGCAAGCCAACATCTTCAGTCTGAGTGTGGTACTGTATTTGAAATTAACTGTGTAATTTTAAGCAAAATATTCAGTCTCTGGAAACAAGTTGCCCTCTCCATAAATGTATGAAATCATGATTCTGCCTCATACATTGCTAGAGGTTTTAATTGAGATGATGTTTGGAACATATGTAATACAATGCCTTGCACATAGTAGGCAGCTTATGACCCTTCAGGTTGTGATGTTCAACCCAAGGGCCACTGTCCCAATGTGGATGGTACTGATACTGTGGGATGTCAAAGCCCCTATGTAGTCAAGGAGATAATTAGTATTATTACTGACAGCTTCCGCCAGTTGTATATTGGATCAGCATCAAGACGTAAGCTCTTTGCTCCTTCTGTTTCACTTTTGTCTTGTGACACTTCCTAGGCAGCATGTGAAAAAAAGCACAAGCTGGATAGAAGAAGCTCCTTGGTTAAAGTTTCCACTTTTTCTTAATTTGGGGAGACAAATCATTTAAGAATCCAGGTGCTTCATTTCTTCACCTGTTAAATGAAAGGCTTTGACTAGATCATCTTTCTAGAGTTCTTTGATTAATAGTTGGGACCTGTTCAACTCTTTTATCCCACAGACAGGAAATCTTACTCTCAAAATGACAGTGAAATTCATTGAACATGAATTCCCGGAGGGCAGGGGAAATGGGCAAGACTTTTCCTACAAGTACGTGGCATTTAGTCTTTGGCAAGAAAAGGAAGCTGTCAGACTAACCTTAAAGTATTCCCCTTCGCTGATAGAGTATTAATTAAATCTGTTTAATAATTACTGCAACTATTTAGCAGAGAAATCTTATCTATAGTGGGCTTAGGGAACAAGCAAGTACATAGGAAATATGAGAAGGTCAAGGGCAGAAACATGTTTGAACATTTAGCTCTTTCTTTTAATTTTAAGGAATTGAGCAGTGGCCGCCGATCTTCCAGGGGAGGCTGGAGCACTGCGGGTGGGAACAGCGTTCAGCTCCCCTCTGCAGGTAGCTGCCCTGTGAGTGAGGCAGAGTGGGAACCCACAGAAGCCTCCCGAGAAAGAAAGCCATCGCAGCTACCCCCACTTTCTTAACAGGTTTTCTAAATCTTCAATAAGTTTATGCTAGCTAGGAATGAATGTCTGAATTTAGGCTTCAAAAATGTTCCTCCCCCCACCCCAATCTGTATAATTACTGTTTTTTTCCTGCAGTCTTTCAAAATACTGTAATTAACAGATTGGCAGATAACCCATATAACTGCAGTTAAGGCAAATATAGTATGCAGCTGTCTTTGCATTAAGTGATTAAATCAAATAGCATAGTTTTGAAGTACATTTATAAAGCATAAATTTACCTCCTGGCAAAACTGTCTTAAGTAACACACCCTACACCATCTGTTCGCTCAGTATTAATACCGTATTTCCCAGGACTATTGCTATGGGGAGCAGAACTCGCAGCTGTGCGGAGCCAAGAGATGCTGAGGGATCCTTCTGAGTACTCAGCAACTTTGGGATCCTCATACAGATGCTGACAGTAATCATAAACTCAAGCATACACACATGGCATGTGTGCGCATATACAGGAACCATGCATGCATGGACAGTATGCACATAAGCACGTGAGTACCACCTCAGGAGAGGATGTGCTTTGATATTTTTAAAGTATGCTCACTTTCCATGAGCAAAATAAGATACAGGTATGGTTTTATACACTTACTAAAGGCTTTATTCTTTCATTAAATTGTCCATTTGGCAATAATTTATTCAAAACCTCTGTGTGTCAGTCCAGGTACTAGGAACTAGGGAGAGAATATTGAGTAAAGAGGTCCTTGTCTTCACGAAGCTTACTGTCTAGAAGTCTCAGTAAGAGGCTATCATTAAATATGATTTTAGACAGAATAAAACCACACTGAAGTTTAACTTCCTTCAGGGTTTATAAAACTAAAAAGTATGAGTAATTTTTCAAGTGTTCATACAGTTCACCATGTATGGTGGTGCATGCCAGAAATCCCAGCACTTGCGAGGCTGAGGCAGAAGGATCACCATGAGTTTGAGGCCATGCTGGACTGCAGAGTGAGTTCAAGGTTGGCCTGAGCTACACAGTGAAGCCCTGCCTCAAAAAAAAAAAAAAAAAAAAAAATGTAGTAAGTGAAAATGATTCCGTTATAAAACACAGTCAAAACCTGTTATGAAGAGTGGTAGTCTCAAAGGACAGAACAGGAAAGGGCACGTACAGCTTGGTGAAGGACAGTGCAGACAGCAATGGAAGCACTGCTGGAATTCATGATTCCAGCTCTTCCATAGGATTTTAGAGATATCGAGCAAGCACTGGGAAGCAGGAAGCCTAAGGGCTTATCCTGAAGGACTGGTTATCAACTCTGGTGAATCATCTGGGAAACCTCTAAGCATACCCAGGTCCCATCCTCCCTCCCTCTCTCTCTCTCTCTCCCTATCTCTGTCTCTCTAAGGATCTACATTAAGTGCATATAGAAAATGATAAAAATGGAATGAGTGCTCTTTCTGGAGCGAATTTCCAACAATGGCACGGATACTTGGAAATATTTAGACTTAGATGTGACCATCTATAATAATGTTGCAGACAACCTGCTTGTAACGTCTACACTAGACTTGGCTGTTATGAAACTTGGCTGTTCAAAAGAACTTCTGAAGGGAATTTTAAGCTGCAAAATCAAGGTGTTACTCCAAGCGACGTCAACCAGATTCTCCAGGATCGCAGCCTGAGAGTACGGACATTTACCGTCCTCCGCAGACACCTGTCTCATGACTGAGAGCCACATATAGAAATAGCTTCTGGAATACTAGCTAATTAAGAGACTTCAAATCTAGAGGAAAGATGAGAAGACAAAAGCAAAAACAAGAAAACTTTGTCATCGAAAACTAACCTGGCATAACTCAGGACAATTGGAAAAACAGGGCCGGGAGTCTCTAGAACTAACTCAAAAAAATCCCTATCTTGTACTGCATTAAGTGTTAGGAGCAAACAAAAACATAGCTGCATTAGCTGAAGTACATTCCATTCCACTTTGATTTTCTCCGGTAAGTCATGCAGAAAAAAATATAAATATCAAAAAAATCGAAGATATGATTAACTCAAACTCATCCATGATCTTGGGGCCGTAGATAGGGCTTGGAAGTCCTATTTTAACTCAACAATTGTACCTGTAGCGACTGCCCAGGTCTTCTAGGTCAATATTCTCATTTTATAAATGAAAACACAGAAGTACAAAGACAGTAAATAAATTTCCCAGCGTCTCACACTAATATGAGGCATGAATCCAATGAAAGCCCAGGTGTTTTAGCGTCAGGTTGGGGGATACTGTTATTTGATATCACTTTCCACATTTGTAACATATAATGAAAATCAAAGTTAGTCACAAAGAAGTTGCTTTATTCCTTCAGAGTTTCATAATAAGTGTGTTTTAGACAAGAGAACAAAGATTGGGAATACGTTTAATTATTGAAAATAAAAGATCAAATATTATTTCATGAAAAAAAGTGAGAAAAAAGTTGTTATATCTTGTTGCCTATATGAAACAGAAAGAATGCAAATAAGCTAATTTTTTGGCTCTGATGATATGACAGCTTATTTCAGAGGGACAGATTATTTAACCGTTTTGGCAATTTAGCATTATACAAAATCTTGTCTTCTCCAAAATTCATCATAATGGTAATGTGTTATTCCTAAATGGATGTAGAACTTCCTGTTGTTGTCAGTTCTAAAAGCAAAGTAGAGACATTTCTCCTTATTAAAAGCTGAATAACAAAGAGTTAGCAGGCTGTACTGCATGATTCAGGCTATAGGGAGAAATATACTGAGCTTTGTTTTGAATCAATATTTATTACCACATCAGCAGCCACATTTAAAGTGGGCATACTTTATTGTCTTTTTATGAAAGCAGAAACAGATTCCATAATTACTGTGAACCATAAACCCTCCAGGCACTTTTCGAATCTAACTTTTGTCTTCTGTCACTTGTATTGAATGTTTCCCATCACAGTTCTTAAAGAGTAGTTCACAGAAGCCCAGGAGCT